TTTGTGGCAACCCTGTGCTGAACAAGTGTATCTGTGCCATTTTCCCAATAGTATTTGCTCATTTTATGTCTCTATCACATTTTGGGAATTTTCGCATAATCCTATCTTTTTTGCATTATATTGAACTGCTGCCATCTAGTGATAAAATTTTAACAGATGAGGAGTTGCTTCTTATGGTTGAACAAAGAAGTGGTTTCCTGAGATGGAATCTGCTCTTGGTGAAGATGCTGTGAAGGCTGTTGAGTGACAAAGAACTTAAAATATTACATAAACTTGGTAAAGCGGTGGGACGACTTGAGCGCATTGACTCCTAAATTTGAAAGAAATTCTGTGGGTAAAATGTTATCAAACAGCATCATACTGAAAATTAATTAATGGATTAAACTTTATTAAGAAAATGCCACAGCCACCCCAACCTTCACCAAAGACCAGGCTGATCCGTCAGCGGCCGTCAGCGGCGAGGCAATACCTTCCCCCAGCAAAAGGACGGACTTGGTGAAAGCCCTCGTGATGGTTAGCTTGCCTTTTTTTTCTTTTCTTTTTTCTTTCTTTCTTTCTTTCTTTTTTTTTTTTTTTTGCAAGAAAGTATTTAACTGAGGTATGTCCGTTTTTTGGGGAAATAACTGTATTATACACTTAATAGACTGCAGTAAAAGCATAACACTTACCTGCACGGGAAACCAAACTCCTCTGCCTTGCTCTGTGGCGGGATTTTGGCTCGACTGCAGTGTTCTGGAAACAAGCCTGCACTGTCTCTGAGGTGCGCCTGTGGGTAGTAAGAGACCAAACAGAGAGAGGTGCACCCAGAAGCGACCTAGATACCGGGGTTTTTAGACAAGGATTTTGATGTAAATATGGTTAGTACGTTAAAATACACAAGAAGATGGAAGAAAAAGAAAACTGGACAACTTCAACTAGTAATTAGAATCTAGGAAAAAAACAGTCAAATGGCTGGCTATTCTAGAATTGAAGACACAGTATCTGAAATTAAGAATTTCATAGTCAGACTTAACAGCAAATTGAACACAGAACAAAAAAGTAAGCTGGAAGGCAAATGAACAACAATACTGAGACGGGCAGAGAGAAATATGGCAAGGTCTGAGAGAAGACTCGGAGCTTTGCTGTTCTCATTAGAAAGCTTTTCTGTCCTGTCGCTCTTCGTCCTCCGTGGAGGACTACTTCATTTCCTTCAGATTTTGGCTTAAATGTCATCTCACGGAGATCTTTCTTGACTTCCTTATCTAACACAGGTTCCCTGCTTCTTATCCTATCATCTTGTTTTTTCCCCTCATATTTTGAATTTAGCTAGAAGTCAATTTAGAAGGGCTTTTTCTTAAGATTTTATTTACTTGAGAGAGGGGGAGAGAGTGGGTGAGCTAGTGAGCATGAACAGAGGGGAGGTGCAGAGGGAGAGGGAGAAGCAGACTCCATGCTGAACAGGGAGCCTGACATGGGACTCGATTTCAGGACCCGAGGACCATGACCTGAGGCGAACACAGAGGCTTAACTGACTGAGCCACCCAGGTGCCCCAAGTCTATTTCCTTTAAAAATATTTTATTTTTAGGTAATCTATACACCAACCATGGGGCTTGAACCCACAATTCTGAGATCAGGAGTCACATGCTCCACTGACTGAGCCAACCAGATGCCCCTAGATGAAGTCTAAAAAGAGCCCATGCCCCTTAGCAATATTTTTCAAATGTCCTTTTCAAAGAGTTTGCCTTTAAAACACTGGAGATAGAAAAAGTGGGGTGCTGTACTTGATCAAATGCTTTTCTGCATCTATTGATATGATCATATGGTTGTTATCCTTTCATTAATGTGAAATCACATGATCACATTTATTTGGGAATGTTGAACCACCCTTACAACCCAGGAAGAATCCCATCTTGATTGTGGTGAATAATTTTTTTTTTTAATGTACTGTTGTATCAATGTACTGCTAGTATTTTATTGAGAACTTTTGCATCCATGTTCATGATATTGGCCTGTAGTTTTTTGTTTGATTGTATGTTTGTTTGTTTTTTAGGTTGTTGTTTGTTTTTTGTTTTTAGTGGAGTCTTTAACTGGTTTTGGTATCAGAGTGATGCTGGCTTCACAGAATGAAGCTGAAGTTTTCTTTCCTTCAGAAAGTACCTGTTAAAAAATCAAACTGGACGTTATAGTTCTGGTACTCTGAGGACAGCTCCGTTAACTCAGATAAAAGTAAAGAAACAGGGTAATTGACACCAGCCCTCCTTCTCCTTTCCTTTGCCTGTGGAAGTGTCTTCTCAGAGCTAACAGCAATACTCTCAGTCGGTGCTCCAGAACCCTCCAACCCCCTCAGGAACTTTGTATTATTGACTGTCTCTCCTTGCACCCGCATATGTCATCTCTCCATAGCGGACACATTGCATAAAGGTTTACACATGTTCTAGTTCCTCATTCTTAAAAAAGCTTTATCCATTCATTTGAGAGAGAAGAGTCCCAAGCAGACTCCACACAAAGTGCTGAGCCCCACGTGGGGTTTGGGCTCATGACCCTGAGATCATGACCTGAGCTGAAACCAAGTCGGTCACTCAACCACCTGAGCCACTGAGGTGCCCCCAGTTTCTCATTGTTTTAAAAGTCTCTTGCCTTGACCAAATCTCTCTTGCTACTACCCTTTTCGAACTTGTCTATATTGTCTTTACTTACTTTATTGATTACTGAACTCATCCCAATGTACCATCCATCCTCAACATTATTATTTCCAACTAAGGTCAACAATATTCCTCATGCTGCTCTATGATATGTTCATTTTTAAAGACTTCATTGAATTTGACCTCGAAGTAGCATTTATTTTTTTTTTTTTTTAAAGATTTTATTTATTTATTTGACAGACAGAGATCACAAGCAGGCAGAGAGGCAGGCAGAGAGAGAGGGGGAAACAGGCTCCCCGCTGAGCAGAGAGCCCAGTGTGGGGCTCGATCCCAGGACCCTGAGATCATGACCTGAGCCGAAGGCAGCGGCTTAACCCACTGAGCCACCCAGGCGCCCCTAAGATTCCTTTTTTAAGCCAACCTTTAAGTACAGCAGGTCTTCGTGGTCAGTGGTAGACACTCTTTTTCCACCATCCATTTTCTCTCTGCAATCTTCGCCGCTTTCACAAGACCTACCGCAGTCTGTGGACTGACGTTGCTAAAGCTGCATGTCCATCCCAGACACCTCCTCAGCTGCACAACCGCAGTGTGTCAGCCAGTTATCTGGGTGCTTCACAACTCTATAAAGGGATCATGGCTAAAACTGCACCTGCTGCCTCTTTTTTCCATCATAGGTTCCTCCTTCTATGTTTTGTTTCTTAATAAATTAGAGCTGAGCTGGTCAGTATCTGTAAGACCAAGTAGCAAAATCTCAAGGGCTGCTTTCAGCAACAAAAACTGGTAACTTCCTCTCTCTGAAAACTCTGGATTTCCAGTACTCAAATATCGGGATTTCCCTGCTTCTCTGATCACTTGGCTTTGGTAACCTTGGATCCATCATTATTTCTAGCCTAAGCACAAGTGTTCTGTCAACATGCTTTCATTCCTCCCTTTTCTATGTTCCTATCCAAACACATGCATCCAACCTAAAATATTTACTCTGCATACCTCTCCCGTCTTTAAAAACAACAACAACAACAACAAGGTTACTGTGTGGACTGTAAGCATGTGCTTTTAACGTCAATAAGCTGATTTTTCTCACACAAAAATATCCAGGTAGAAGCAATACAGCTCTTTTTTTTTTTTAAAGATCTTATTTATTTATTTGACAGACAGAGATCACAAGTAGGCAGAGAGGCAGGCAGAGAGAGGGGGGGAAGCAAGATCCCCGCTGAGCAGAGAGCCCAATGCGGAGCTCGATCCCAGGACCTTGAGATCATGACCTGAGCTGAAGGCAGAGGCTTAACCCACTGAGCCACCCAGGCGCCCCACAAGCAGTACAGTTCTGGTACAGCTATCTAAGGAGTCGCTGAGGAACCAGGATCTCCTTCTTCACCTCCTTAGGCCATGGGTGTCATTCTTATGGTCACAGATGGCTCCTTCAGCTCTAGAAGTAGAAAACTCAAAGGGAAAAGAATGAGGAAGGCAGAAAGGTAAACCCCAAAAGGCAAAGAGAAAAAACCAGACAGGTCTGTTTCCAGTGATACTGTTTTTGATTAATCAGGAATGAGGATGATGGCTACAGTGGGGTTCAAGGAGACTGAGAGGACTTTTGTAACTGGACATATTGCTATTGTGAGCCCAAATAGGATTGTCAGTAGGGAAGGATGAGCTGGATGTCTGACTGCCTACTAATAACACCTGCCACAACAGGCCAGAAAGCTCCCAAGAATATACCAATAAAATAATATCATATACCCCAAATATTCTAAACGTGATGCAATTAATTTAGAAATCAATAACAATGAGGGTGTCTGGGTGGCTCAGCCAGTTGGGCATCTGACTCTTGATTTTGGCTTGGGCTGTGATCTTGGGGTTGTGCGGTCAAGACCTGCACTGGGCTCCACACTCAGTGGGGAGTCTGCTTGGGATTCTTTCTCTCCCTCTCTCCCTTGGCCCCTGTTCACTGTCTTTAAAATGAATTTTTAAAAAGATTTTTCTTATTTGACACAGAGAGAGATCACAAGTAGGCAGAGAGGCAGGCAGAGAGAGAGGGAAGCAGGCTCCCTGCTGAGCCGAGAGCCCGGTGCGGGACTCGAGCACAGGACCCTGAGACCATGACCTGAGCTGAAGGCAGAGGCTTAACCCACTGAACCACCCAGGTGCCCCTACAATGAATGTCTTTTTTAAAAAAGAAAATAACTGCAAACTTTTAACTATTTTGAGAACATAGAATTCTAATCAGCTATACGCTCATTAAGTCATAATACATCTTATACAACATTTAGAATTAAACATAGGCCAAAATGTGTTACATAGTTCAAGAGGTATTTAGAAGACTATAGTCTTAAATGCTTATTTTGGATGATAAAGCTTGAAATAATGAGTTGGAGTCCACCTCAAGACAATGAATAAATCAATCCCACATTCATAACATTTGTAGAGTTTCTCTTGCGGTGAAGAACTCCAACTGAAGGCTTCCCACATTGAATACATTCATAGGATTTTCCCCCAGTGTGAGTTCCCACATATCTCCTAAGGGAAGAAGAAACACTGAGGGTTTTCCTACATTCCTTACATTGAATGGGGTTTCTCTCCAGTATGAATTCTCACAAGTATTTTAAGGGATGAGAGACCACTAAAAACTTTCTCACAGTCATTGCATTTGTAGTGATTCTCTCCAGTGTGTATTTTCTTGTGAACTTTAAGGTGCGAGCTTGTAGTAAAGGCTTTTCCACAGTCACTGCAGTCATAGAGTTTCTCCCCAGTGTGTATTCTCTTGTGCACTATTAGGTAAGAACTTGTGCCAAAGGATTTTCCACAATGATTACACTCATAATGTTTCTCTCCAGTACGAGTTCCCACCTGAGCAAGAGGTGTTTTTTGACTAGAGCATTTCCCCATTGGTTACATTTATATGGCTTCTCACCAGTGTGAGTTCTTACATGTCTCCTTTGGGTTGAGGAATTGTTGAAGACTTTCTCACATTCTTTACATTCATATTGCTTTTCATCCATGCAACTTTTCTTGTGCAAAATAAGATTACAAGGTCTTCTGAAGGCTTTCCCACATTGATTACATTCATGACATTTCTCTCCATTAGGAGTTTGTTCCTATTGCCTATGGGATGGATGATGACAAAAATTCTTGCTTTTATTACATTCATAGGAATTCTCCATTATATGAAAATTATTATAAGTAGGAAGCATATTATTATGTTTGAAGTGTATACCATGCTTGAAGCTTGCATATTTTTGTGCTGTCTGAGTTTTTTCAAGATGTCACAGAGGTCTACATATTTATGACTTTCACACAGAGCTTCCCACTTACACAGATCCTCTTGTAATTATTTAGGATTGAATTATGTTTCAAATTCTCAAAATCTAGGTAACATTTATGGCAATGTTTACTGGTGGAAACTCTCTTTGAGAAAACAAGTTTTGATCCAAGTTTAGAGTTTTCCTCTAATTCATGATGGTCAAATAATCTAAGATGCTGTTTTCTTTTGGGTCACTTTCCTCAAATTTCGTCCTGGGATCTTGTGCTGTTTTCTGATCTTATGACATTCCTGGTCTTCACTTAATGTGGAGGACCAATTGTCCATTATGAATCTTATCATTTTCACTCCATTGGATGATTTTTCCCTAAAAATATTCTGCGTAGGAGTTGATTTTTTGGTTTTAAGTTGAATCTCCTAGTCTGTATAGGTATCTTGGAGAATAATCTTTTTCATAGTTCTTATCTCTTCTTGACCTGACAGGGAGATCACAATAAACTTCCATAACTGATATTCCAGTGAGGTAAGATTTATAGTTTTCCAACATCACATCTCTGTAAATTCTTCTCTGACCAGAATCAAGCATCATCCACTCCTCCTGGGTGAACTCCACAGCCACATCTTTAACAGTCACAGGTACCTGTAACCAGGTTGCTGGAAATTTGGCCACTACTCTTTTTCCCTCATTATCTCTCACGTATAAAGAGGCAGAATTCTGGGTTGGCAGAGCCCATATGAGGGGTAGGTCAGTGGCTGCCATCTTAAGAGTCTGAAAGTGATATCTGCCTGCACAATAGGGCACAGAGATCAGGATACTTCTTTTCTTGTTCCTCTGATCCAATCAAGCATGAATGCATTTCACTGGGTGTCCTCCCTGTAGCCAAAGAGGCAAGTTCAGGTAAAAGAAGAAACAGAACCCCATTGTTGGCAAGGAAAAAGAAGAATTGTAGACCCTCTCCACTACTCTCAGCAAGGTTTGGCCAGTTTAAAATCTTTACAGGGATTTGTAGTCACATACAATATTGTCATCCTTGGCCCCTTCTAAAACTGTCACCTTGGTAATTTATGCTAGCTTCTCCTGGAGACTACTGTTCAGCACTGTGTGAAAGGAGCATACATTATTTATTTTCTTTAAAGATTTTGTTCACTTATTTGACAGAGAGAGACACAGCAAGAGAAGGGAACACAAGCAGGAAGAGTGGGAGCGGAAGAAGCAGGCTTGCCCAACTTGGGGTTCGATCCCAGGACCCTGGGATCATGACCTGAGCTGAAGGCAGATGCTTAATGACTGAGCCACCCAGGGACCCCCAAGGACCAGGCATTTTTTTTATTTTTTAAGATTTTATTTATTTATTTGACAGACAAGAGATCACAAGTAGGAAGAGAGGCAGCAGAGGAAGGGGGGAGAAGCAGGCTCCCCACTGATCAGAGAGCCTGAGGCAGGGCTTGATCCGAGGATCCCAAGATCACAACCTGAGCCAAAGGCAGAGGCTTTGACCCACTGAGTCATCAGGTGCCCCTAGGACCGGGCATTATTAAAAGAAAAAAGATTAAAGCTAAAGAGAAGCAGGTCAGAGAGGCAGGGTTGATTAAATTTTGTGCATACTTTGCTACTTTTTTAGTTAACTTTTGTTTTTTGGGTTTTTTTTTTTTTTTTTAGATTTTATTTATCTGTCAGAGAGGGAGAGAGAGCGAGTGAGCACAGGCAGACAGAATGGCAGGCAGAGGCAGAGGGAGAAGCAGGCTCCCCGCCGAGCAAGGAGCCCGATGTGGGACTCGATCCTAGGACGCTAGGATCATGACCTGAGCCGAAGGCAGCTGCTTAACCAACTGAGCCACCCAGGCGTCCCTAGTTAACTTTTGGAATGGGAAAGTAATTTTCCTGTGAAACATAATTATCCTAGGTGTGCTTACTTTCCTGTATATAAATTGGCGTTTACCTGAATAACGTCATACATGATTAATAACACTGATGATTTAGCTGCTACTCAGGAATTTTATTGGAGTTGTTAAGGGTAGGTATGTGAATTTGAAACAAGTGTTCAGGGGCGCCTGGGTGGCTCAGTGGGTTAAAGCCTCTGCCTTCGGCTCAGGTCATGACCCTAGGGTCCTGGGATCGAGCCGGCATCAGGCTCTCTGCTCAGCAGGGAGCCTGCTTCCTCCTCTCTCTCTGCCTGCCTCTCTGCCTACTTGTGATCTCTGTCTGTCAAATAAATAAATAAATAAAAACTAAAAAAAAAACAAAAAAACAAAAAACCCAACAAGTGTTCATTTGATTACCTCCAATTCAATCTCCTTCTCCAGAGCACATCTTTCCTCGAGATAATTTATCCTATCTAAAACTTGAATGGAATCAACAAAAAAGCATGATCCATGACCCAACCTTTGGGAGTGAGGTCTTATTGTTAATAAGATGGCAGAGTACTTTCCTATACAATTTTTACAAAGGCTTTAAAATAAATTTTAAAAAGATGCAGTGTGAATACAAAAAACGAATGCTTAGAGACTTTAGGATCATAACAAATCACGCAATAATTTGTTATGCTAATTTTTTACAGGTGTTCCTTTTTGCAGATTACCTGATAACCTTCAAATGTGAGTCCTCTATCTCAATGCTACAATAGAGTTCAGTTTTAATGGATAAAATCACAGATTTGGGCATTTTATTTAGACAAATTTTTTTAAAGATTTTATTTATTTGGCAGACAGAGATCAGAAGTAGGCAGAGAGGCAGGCAGAGAGAGAGAGGAGGAAGCAGGCTCCCTGCTGAGCAGAGAGCCCAATGCTGGGGTTGATCCCAGGACCCTGGGATCATGACCTTAGCCGAAGGCAGAGGCTTAACCCACTGAGCCACCCAGGTGCCCCTAGACAAATATTTTTAAAAATATTTTATTTATTTATTTGACAGATCACAAGTAGGCAGAGAGGCAGGCAGAGAGAGAGAGGGGGAAGCAGGCTCCCCGCTCAGCAGAGAGCCCGATGCGGGGCTTGATCCCAGAACCCTGGGATCATGACCTGAGCCAAAGGCAGAGGCTTTAACCCACTAAACAACCCAGGTGCCCCTAGACAAATATCTTTGACAGGTAGATTCTATGTCCTTAAACCAGAAGTGTATATGTCTTTAGTGTAAACCATACAGAAATAGACTTCCATCTGATTTGTTCATTGCTATATTCCAAGTACCTAGAACATTGTAGCACATGGTAGACACTCAACAAATATTTATCGAATAAGCTGAATGAGTCCATGGCAATTAAGGCTTTGTGAAGGAACCTCTACCCCCACCCCACCATCCATACCCTTTTTTCGTTCGGAGAAAAAAAATTAGAAAGTTATGATTCCTCTTCAAAAAGGAACTTACTCTGGAGCACCTGGGTGGCTCAGTGGGTTAAAGCCTCTGCCTTCGGCTCAGGTCATAATCTCAGGGTCCTGGGATCGAGCCCCACATTGGGCTCTTTGCTCAATAGGAGCCTGCTTCTTCCTCTTTCTCTCTGCCTGCCTCTCTGCCTACTTGTGATCTCTCTGTGTCAAAAAAAATAAATTTTTTTTTTTTTTAAAAAGGAACTTACTCTGTCTTCTGGTTAAAGCTTTTTAAAATTAACCAATTAATTAATTAATTAATTAATTTATGTCAGAGCAAGAGAGAGAGACTACAAGTAGGGAGAGCTGAAGGCAGAGAGAGAAGCAGGCTCCCCACTGGGCAAGGAGCCCAATGAGGGACTCCATCCCAGGACCCTGAGATCATGACTTGAGCTGAAGGCAGACACTTAACTGACTGAGCCACCCAGGCATCCCTGGTTAAAGCTTTTTAAGCTAAGAATTGTATTCTGGACTTGTTTCTTAGTTCCCCATGTTTTATTTCTTTTCTAGTTACAGAACTAATTAGCAAAACTAAACACTTTAGGGACAAACAGGAAAAAGTAGCTGAATAAATGGAGGAATTCATTATGATCATGGATAGAAAGATTAAATATTATAAAGATTTCAATGTTTCACTAACTAGAATTGCATTGGATTTTCATTATTCTATATATTCAATAGGGGCTTTTTGAAATGACAATTTGATTTTAAGATTTTATAGGAAAATGAAGGTACATGAATAACAAGGCAATTATTAAAATAGTGTTTTACCTTACTATATTTTTTATTTTTAATTAACATACAATGTATTATTTGTTTCAAGGGTACAAATCTGTGATTCATCAGTCTTACACAGTTCACAGTGCTCACCATAGCTAATACCTGCCCTAATGTCCATCACCCAGCAACCCCATCCCTTCACCCCCACGACTCCAGCAACCATCATTTTGTTTCCTGAGATTAAGAGTCTCTTATGGTTTGTCTCCCTCTCTGGTTTTGTCTTGTTTTATTTTTCCCTCCCTTCCCCTGTGATACTCTGTATTGTTTCTCGAGTTCCTCAAATCAGTGAGATCATATGATAATGGTCTTTCTCTGAATGACTTATTTCACTTAGCATAATACCCTCTAGTTCCATCCACGTTGTTGCAAATGGCAAGATTTTGGTTTTTCGATGGCTGCCTAATATTCCATTATATATATACACCACATTTTTAAATCGATTTATCTGTTGATGGACATGCAGGCTCTTTCCATAGTTTGGCTATTTTGGACATTGCTGCTATAAACATTGGGGTAAATACCCAGTAGTGCAATTGCTGGGTCATAGGGTAGCTCTATTTTCAACTTAAAAAAAAATTTCTTTTTCTTTATTTGAGAGCAAGAGTAAGGGAGTATGAGCAGTGGAGATGGGCAGAGGGAAAGGGAGAAGCAGATTCCCTGCTAAGCAGGGAGCCCCATGTGGAACTTGACCCCGGGACCCTGAGATCATGACCTGAGCTGAAGGCAGATACTTACTGACTGAGCCACCTAGGTGTCCCTATTTTCAACTTTCTGAGGAACCTCCATACTGTTTTCCAGAGTGGCTGCACCAGCTTGCATTCCCACCAACAGTGTAGGAGGCTCCCCTTTCTCCGCATCCTCACCAACACCTGCCATTTCTTGCTTGTTAACTTCAGCCATTCTGAGTGGTGTGAGGTGGCATCTCACTGTGGTTTTGATTTGTATTTCCCTGATGCTGAGTGATGCTGCGCACGTTTTCATGTGTCTGTTGGCCATCTGGATGTCTTCTTTGCCAAAATGTCTGTTCATGTCTTCTGCCCGTTGATTGGATTGGTCTCTTTGGATAGGTATGCTGCCAATCTAATATTTCTATTGTTGTAGATTACAGTCCTCTTGTCCTGAGCTGCTTTCATGATTTTCTCTGTCTCTGAGACTTGTAAATTTTACTATTAGGTGATGAGGTGTTGACCTATTTTTATTGATTTTGAGGGGGGTTCTCTGTGCCTCCTGGATTTTGATGCTTATTTTCTTCCCCTAATTAGGGAGTTCTCAGGTATAATTTGTTCCAATATACCTTTTGCCCCCCCTTTCTTCTTCTGGGATCCCAATTACCCTCATATTATTTCATCTTATGATATCACTTACCTCTCAAACTTTCCCCTCATGGTCCAGTAGTTGTTTGTCTCTCTTTTTCTCAGCTTCCTTACTCTTCATCATTTGGTCTTCTGTATCACTAATTCCCTCCCTGACTTATCATTATCATACATTATCATATATACTCTGACTTATCATTATCATACATTATCATATATACCCTGACTTATCATTATCATATATTATCATATATATCCTGACTTATCATTATCATATATTATCTCTGCCTGACTTATCCTAGCAGTG